GGGTCGGTCCTGGGGCCAGTTTTGTTCAATGTCTTCATTAATGATCTGGAGGATGGCGTGGACTGCACCCTCAGCAAGTTTGCAGATGATACTAAACTGTGAGGAGTGGTAGATACGCTGGAGGATAGGGATAGGATACATAGGAACCAAGACAAATTAGAGGATTGGGCCAAAAGAAATCTGATCAGGTTCAACAAGGACAAGTGCAGAGTCCTGCACTTAGGATGGAAGAATCCCATGCACTGCTACAGACTAGGGACCAAATGGTTAGGCAGCAGTTCTGCAGAAAAGGACCTAGGGGTTACAGTGGACTAGAAGCTGGATATGAGTCAACAGTGTGCCCTTGTTGCCAAGAAGGCTAATGGTATTTTGGGCTGTATAAGTAGGGGCATTGCCAGCAGATCGAGAGACATGATCATTCTGCTCTATTCAGCATTGGTGAGGCCTCATCTGGAGTACTGTGTCCAGTTTTGGGCCCCACACTACAAGAAAGATGTGGAAAAATTGGAACGAGTCCAGCGGAGGGCAACAAAAAGATTAGGGGGCTGGAGCATATGACTTCTGAGGAGAGGCTGAGGGAACTGGGATTGTTTAGTCTGCAGAAGAAAAGAATGAGAGGGGATTTGATAGCTGCTTTCAACTACCTGAAAGGGGGTTCCAAAGAGGATGGATCTAGACTAGTGGTAGCAGATAACAGAACAAGGAATAAGGGTCTCAAGTTGCAGTGGGGGAGGTTTAGGTTGGATATTAGGAAAATCTTTTTCACTAGGAGGGTGATGAAGCACTGGAATGGGTTACCTAGGGAGGTGGTGGAATCTCCTTCCTTAGAGGTTTTTAAGGTCAGGCTTGACAAAGCCCTGGCTGGGATGATTTAGTTGGGGACTGGTCCTGCTTTGAGCAGGGGGTTGGACTAGATATCCTCCTGAGGTCCCTTCCAACCCCGATATTATATGATTCAGAAAGTATCACAGTAGTCTCTGACAGTCAGGAGGATCAATTGCACCTCAAAATGCAGATAACTGAATGAGTGACACTGAGGCATGAGGGTCACACAAACTGTCCGGACTTTGGCAGGTCTGCAAACAGTGTGGAGAAAGAGGGGAGCAGATCCTCCAGCCATCCTGTAGGAAGAGGTTGCAGCTAATGTGGTGAATGCAGAAAAGCTTGCCAATCTGCAAAACTCTAGGTAGTGCATTGATCTGGTGCTTTGTCTTTGAAGAGCATGCTTACAATAAACAATGGCTCACTGAGCGAGATGCAGAAACAGGATGGCAAAGAGTCTGCAATAAAGTGAAAAATGGTAGATGGCAGCATGATCATGGTAAGTCACATGCATGATGCATTCTCTGAATGCTGAAAAAACGTGGATGATACTTTAAGCTCAACTCTAACAATTCAAAACCTATCATAGAATATCAGGGTTGGAAGGGACCTCAGGAGGTCATCTAGTGCAACCCCCTGACAGATTTTTACCCCAGTTCCCTAAATGGCCCCCTCAAGGATTGAACTCACAATCCTGGGTTTAGGAGACTAATGCTTAAACCACTGAGCTATCCCTCCCCTTTCCCCAGGTAAATATGGGTTGTGATAGGCTAGGTAGAGAATAACTAAGAAATTAAGGCCCCAGTTCTGCAACTGGCAAAAGGAATGAATGGGACGTTGTGACACTGTACATCTTACCATTAATAAAAGTATCCATAGTCATGAGTGGACCTGTACAACATCCCACCACTCTGATGAATGAAATCTATTATAATTAAGAGGATGCTTCAGAGGGAAGGGAAAAAAAGGGAAATAAAAACAACCCAGGAAACTACAGACCAGTTAGTTTAACTTCTGTGCCAGGGAAGATAATGGAGCAAGTAATTAAGGAAATCATCTGCAAACACTTGGAAGGTGGTAAGGTGATAGGGAACAGCCAGCATGGATTTGTAAAGAACAAATCATGTCAAACCAATCTGATAGCTTTCTTCGATAGGATAACGAGTCTTGTGGATAAGGGAGAAGCTGTGGATGTGGTATACCTAGACTTTAGTAAGGCATTTGATACGGTCTCGCATGATATTCTTATCGACAAACTAGGCAAATACAATTTAGATGGGGCTACTATAAGGTGGGTGCATAACTGGCTGGATAACCGTACTCAGAGAGTTGTTATTAATGGTTCCCAATCCTGCTGGAAAGGCATAACGAGTGGGGTTCCGCAGGGGTCTGTTTTGGGACCGGCTCTGTTCAATATCTTCATTAACGACTTAGATATTGGTATAGAAAGTACGATTATTAAGTTTGCGGATGATACCAAACTGGGAGGGATTGCAACTGCTTTGGAGGACAGGGTCATAATTCAAAATGATCTGGACAAATTGGAGAAATGGTCTGAGTTAAACAGGATGAAGTTTAACAAAGACAAATGCAAAGTGCTCCACTTAGGAAGAAAAAATCAGTTTCACACATACAGAATGGGAAGAGACTGTCTAGGAAGGAGTACGGCAGAAAGGGATCTAGGGGTTATAGTGGACCACAAGCTAAATATGAGTCAACAGTGTGATGCTGTTGCAAAAAAAGCAAACATGATTCTGGGATGTATTAACAGGTGTGTTGTGAGCAAGACACGAGAAGTCATTCTTCCTCTCTACTCTGCTCTGGTTAGGCCTCAGCTGGAGTATTGTGTCCAGTTCTGGGCACCGCATTTCAAGAAAGATGTGGAGAAATTGGAAAGGGTCCAGAGAAGAGCAACAAGAATGGTTAAAGGTCTTGAGAACATGACCTATGAAGGAAGGCTGAAAGAATTAGGTTTGTTTAGTTTGGAAAAGAGAAGACTGAGAGGGGACATGATAGCAGTTTTCAGGTATCTAAAAGGGTGTCATAAGGAGGAGGGAGAAAACTTGTTCACCTTAGCCTCTGAGGATAGAACAAGAAGCAATGGGCTTAAACTGCAGCAAGGGAGGTCTAGGTTGGACATTAGGAAAAAGTTCCTAACTGTCAGGGTGGTTAAACACTGGAATAAATTGCCTAGGGAGGTTGTGGAATCTCCATCTCTGGAGATATTTAAGAGTAGGTTAGATAAATGTCTATCACGGATGGTCTAGACAGTATTTGATCCTGCCATGCGGGCAGGGGACTGGACTCGATGACCTCTCGAGGTCCCTTCCAGTCCTAGAATCTATGAATCTATAAGAGTGCTATCATTCAGTGGATCAGCATGCATCCGAAGAAGTGGGTATTCACCCACGAAAGCTCATGCTCCTACATGTCTGTTAGTCTATAAGGTGCCACAGGACTCTTTGCTGCTGTTACAGCTGACACTGTCATTCACTGATATTAACTGGAAAAAGCATAGTTAATGATCCCTAAATATGCAAACAAGGAAACAGTTTCCTTGAGGCTACTCTAAATTTATCAGCAAATGGTGACAGTAACAACTATTGGTAGAAAGAGGATACTGAGGCCACTTCTGAAGATTCCCCATCAGCACAGTAAGTCAAGGTGGGTATTCAGAGTCAAGGTTTCCCAGCTGGGATGGATTCTTCATAATGAAAAGCAGCCATACCCATTAAAAGTTTTGAATTACTACTATAAAGTATTTTGCAAGAGGGCTCAGATAACATTTTATGAGAGATTAAAAATTTCAACAAGATAATGCATGATATGGCACCAGCAATAGACCTTTTAGGGTCTGCTGGATGCAGCCTCATTGCAGCATTACAAATCTGTGACAATTTTTAGCTTATTTTTCCAGTCCTTAGTACAGTTATTGCAGTCTGTTCATTTTTTTTAAATGGATTGGTGAGGTCTAGAACTGCTTGCAAATAATCATGTTTTAAATACTTGGAGTCACTGTAGACCTTACTTTTAATTCTTGGGTAACTTTTTCTTTGATAGGTAATAGCACAACACTGGCCCTATGATCTTTTAGAAAACTTCAGGATTTTAACTATGAATTGTATAGGTAAAACATTAAACGAGTGCAATATGTTCCCTATTTGCAGCACTGCAAATATCACTGGAAAATTTCTTTCCCTCTATATTTTTTTCCTGACAGATCCAAATGCTGTAACAGTGTATAGGAGGTAATGAGGCATAGCCCAAGTCTGGGATGAAAAGTAACAAATCAGAAGTGAATATTGCTTGAAAACAGCTTCCGTTGTGCTCATTTTTCTTGGATGTGTGAGGAAAGCTGACAGACAGAATTGCTTGCCTCACAGATCACTGAGTGAACCTCGATGAGATGGACATGTGAAAGAGCACACACAAAATAAACTTTAATGATCAGCTTGCCACATTTTATTTGAACTAACATGGAAGGTACACAGTAGCTGCAGGGCAGATAAATAACATTTCAGATGGCATTCATCATTTAAACAACTATTAAAGGATGACTAGATGACTTAGGGCAGCAGTAATAACATACATAGCCATTCAACCCCAGGTTACAAGTCTGAGTCAGACCTTGTAGATAATGATTGAAACTTGTTAGACTGACAGCTTATTTGGTGGCCTTGTGAAATTATCTATGTCAGTCCAACTCCTAGTGAAAAGGTGTCAACAGTCCCACAACCAACAAGATTAGCAAGCACTCTTATGTAGCTTTGACACCTTTGCCAAGCGGTGAGTGAAGAGAGAAAGCAAACAACCTTCTTGCCCTGTCAGGTGGTGTTCTCAGAACAGAATTGTGTGTGTGTGTGTGAGAGAGAGAGAGAGAGAGAATATGTTTCTATACCTCCTGTTCTATGTTCTACCTTCTGTGGATAGAGGACCAAAGTCTAGAGGGCTGTCAAATAGCTCCTTTCATGAGCAGTTAAGTCATTTAGGAAAATCTGATGTGTGGATATGTGTTGAGATGGTCTAGGAAACTAATGACTGAGAGAAGATAGCTTTTCAGAGAATAATCTGTTATTCTTGTAATGTAAAAGAATGACGTGGAATGGGAGGGCTAATAGACATATGACTATATGAATACTTCAGACATGATAGAAGCAAGCTGTACTCTTTTAACTTACAAATCAAAATCTGATTGTCTGGGTCTTTGTATTGGTAAACCTCTGATTTCAGAATTAGTGAGTGGCTCAAATACCACCTGTAAAAAAGATGGAATAAGCTTCATGATGCACTTAAGTGGCTGTTCAGAGCCTCAGCTAGTATAAATCACTATATAGCTCCTTTCAAACAAGTGATGTCAATTTACACCCACTGAGGATCTGACCCAGTTTATTTATAGATAATATAAAATGAGGGAGTCACAATAGTTAAGGGTAGTTATGGACAGTGACCTGAAAATATAAGGCCCCAGTCCTGCAAAACTTATTAACATGCTTAACTTTAAGCACCTGAAGTCAATGAGACTGCTCAAGCACTAAAGTTAAGCATGTTTAAGTGTTTTCAAAATTAAACCCTAAATTTAGCAATGAACCAGCTACTTTAATTTAAAAACAATTAATTGAACACAATAAATATAAATGAAGTCAAAGAATTTCAAGATTAGGAACCTTAAATTAGGTAGCTATGTCCATACTGAGGCATTTGAATAAGTCTTCTGGTTTTAAGAAGCGCTGAACACCCAGCAGCAGCCATTGAGATCATGGATGATTTTATTCATATAAGTAGTCCCATGTGTAGAGGAGGCTGCAGGATTTCCCCTTTTACTTGTACTTGGACAAGTCATGAACAGTTATTCTTTAAAATTTCAAAATGTGTCATGGCCACAGTTCAGAAGAAATAAAGTAAAGCAATGATCTAGTACAGCGGTTCTCAAACTTCATTGCACCACGACCCCATTCTGACAAGAAAAATTACTACACGACCCCAGTGCCCTGTGTTACTCAGAATAGTTAATATTTTACATTAAGATATGCATTACAAGGCCATATCTACAAAATCCACCACCTCCCATGAAGCTCTGGGTTGGGATTTCAGCCCCCACACTGCCTCCAGAGCTGTGGACTAGGGTTTCAGCCCCACTGCCAACCCCAGATCTCTGGTCTGGGGCTTTCTGCCCTGGTGACCCCATCAAAATGGTGTCACAACCCACATTTTGAGAACCGCTGCTCTAATACTTGTTCATCTGCTACAATGCAGGGGTGCTGGAACAATTTGTATAGGGGGGCGGGTGCTGAGAGCCATTGAACCAAACTGTAAACCCTGTATATGATGGAAACCACTTCAAGCCTGGGGGTGGGGCCGCATGCCCAGCACCTCTAGTTCCAGCACCTATGCTACAATACATCATTAAACTGTAACTATAGCTTGCTCTCTTTTAGTTCTCTATATAGGTATTCACACTACTTTTGAATGCAAAGGTTTCTGGAGCAGTTTTTGTTAAAATTGATTCCTCACAAACATGGAATTTTTTTTTTTAGGTTTACTCAGTTGCTTGTCTTCTTGTATTCTGCACCATCAACAAAGAGGTCTGTATACCGTTATATGAATCCTTGCCAAAGGTGACTTTTGCATTAGATGTTCTTATTTTCTAATGTTCCTCTTACATATTGAGCTTGAATAGGCAGTAAGATGAACAATTAATTAAAGTTGCTGCTACTGCAATAAGGAGGGGAGGGAAAAAACCTGGCTCATTTGAGATAGGAATGTTATGCTAAAAATGGACACTGTAATCTTACAGACAAAGACATAACAAGATCTAATGGCTGAAATCTGAAAATATGGTGCTCATTTTTAATAGTGAGGGTACCAACCATTGTAACAACTTACCTAGGGATAGGGTGACGAGATAGCAACTGTGAAAAAACGGGATGGGGGTAAGGGGTAATAGGAGCCTATATAAGAAAAAGTCCCCAAAAACGGGACTGTCCCTTTAAAAGCGGGACATCTGGTCACTCTACCTAGGGATGTGATGTATTCTCCATCACTTGGAGTCTTTTAATTAAGACTGGATGCCCTTCTCAAATATATACTGCAGCTCATCAAGAAGTTTTGGGTTTGTAGGAATTACTGGATGAAATTCTACAGCTTGTGTTATGTACAAGGTCAGACTACATGATTATAATGGACCCTTCTGTCCTTAAAATATATGAAAACTGTGAAGTCCTTCTGAAAAATAAAAATGATCCTTACACCAGATATGAAGTTTGATAGATAATGACTATAGATATCAAAATTACTTGAATCTATGAAATATGAGATGGCTTCTATTATGCAGAATATAAAATTCTTTGTATTATAACAAGCCAGGGGGGAGAATTAAGATGCTATATGTACCTAAACCATAAAATCTAGAACTGTTATATATTCCAATTACTGCTCCACTAACTTAAAACAGCATTAACAGTGTTTTGTTTATAATAAGAGTCTAGTGGAAACATTCTTGAAAATACTTTCTGAGGACTGAGCCTATTAAATTCTTATGAAATATCTACTAAAATCATACTGCAGATGGCCTCCCTCTTATCTGTTATTGTACTGGGTGCGTGCACTAGCACAAAAGGTTCTTTTATAGTGCATTCTTCCTACTGCTCAATCTACTTTTCCCTCCATTAGCACAAAAGAAAGCTGTATTAGTTTGTTACACAGGGGAAATCATTAGGAAGCCAGGAATTAGGATAATAAAGAGAATCATCTGGTTTCATCCAGATGCTATTAATGTGCCTGATCCAAAGCCAATTGAAGTCAACAGGGGTCTTCCCAGTGGGTTCAATGAGCTTTGGAACAAGCTTAATCTGAGCATTTATACCACACTACCCAGTAGTATCTGAGCACCGTATTACAAATCCCAGAGGCTAAAAGTAGTGGAAACAGACAACATTTTAATTGTTAATTTTCCCTCACCATCCATTTTAGCAATAAATAGCAAAGCAGGGAACTGATTGTTGGCCTTAGTGGGTTAATTTGAATGTGATACCAATGCAAGCTATAAATTACAGAATTAACATAACTAGGAATTACACACCTGTGTCAAGGAGAAAACAGACCTTTAGAATATGATTTAGCTTTAGTCGCTGGTCTAGAAAAGGTGCAAGGCAGCACCCTGCACAGAACTCTCAAATTGAGAGGTTAATTTTGGATTCATGTGATTTAAGTGACACTGATAGTATATGTTGCAGACCAGCTCATGACTGTAATGGCAATGCTGATTTCCAGGAATATAGTGCAAGCTGTACATAATCGCCTGTTGCCTAGTACAAACTGACTTGCTATCTTTTGATGATTTACACCTTTTCACTTCTTAACTTTTGTCCTCATTACAAAACTGAATATGAAAATAATGTTTGTACATGTAAAAGATGTTGTATTTCCTATTCCTCTCTGAAGCTAGCAAGTTAACGGTATCAAAGGCTTCAAAAGACATATTTATTTAATACCAACCATTATCTCAGAAATATCTGCAATGCTACTGTTCATATCAAGCATAACTAATTCCATTTTATACCCAGGCCATAAAGATATATCAACTGCCAGTGATTTCGGAATCCACTAAAATCAAGAGGTAAAAGAGTGTGTACTTAGTATGCACTTTCCTCTGAAAGCAAATCCTAAACAAACACATAAACTGCAAAGACCAAATCTTTCAAAACTCTTCAGCTCACAACTCTTCCATTAGTGTTACTGTCAGATCTATAAAAAGAAAACCACAGAAATCCCTTCTGCTGCTCCATCAGGTATGTCAGATATTGTTCTTCCTCTTAGTCTCTGAAAGTAAGAGGAAAGTTTTTAATAAAACTATAGCAAGAATCCTTTGACATGAATCCCAGTTTTACCTGTGGATTACAGTGTAATCCCATTATAGACGTTTAATAACCTTTATCTGACATGAAAAGTGATGTATTAAAATCCCCTTTTATTTGAAGTGTGATATGTGCAATTTTGTTTGTTATATAATCAAATATGTTAACATCTAGGTGCTTCAAAGTCAAGATGATAACCCTAACAATTATTTCAAGATTAATTAACATCTTCAATATAGAAAACACTTAGATTTTCATAATAATACATATTTATATACATCTAGCACATGATCTGGGAAGTTAAGCATAATAACAAGCATCCAGATAAGATTGGCTCTGTGTAAACAAGAATTAACTGGAAATCTTACACACACACACACACTCTCTCTCTCTCTCTCTCTCTCTCTAAATAAATAAATAAAGTTGAGTGAAATGAGGGAGAAAAGACATCCCTACCCCTGAAACTTGTCATTCATTTTTTCAGTCAAATCTAATGTAAACCCCATAGAGGCCAAACATACTAATTTGGCCCATGAACAAAATGAAGGCCAGGTGACAGTCTAGCTCCCAATAATCATTGTTATGATCTAACAGTATTTTCCATATAAAATAGAGCTACTCTCACCTTGGGAACTACTCTCACCTCTGTGGTCATGAACTAGAAAAGGAATGCAGCTGTTAATTTAATTACAATTACTGTGGAGTAAGCAGGGTCGCTACTGCCACCACCCTCCCTGTTAAGTTTTTTTAAAAAGTTTAAAAGCTTACTATTTTCTGGTGATATTATATCAGAAAGCATTATATCATCCGTACCTATGAACTGAATATTATGTGTAAGGCCAATACTCTGCGGAGTTCCACAGTTTTGTTTTGTTTTTTCTTTTGGGCTGCATACCGTATCCGCAGACCTGTAACCCTGGGATTTATATACCTAGATCAGAGCACCAAAAGGGTGTGTTTTTTCAATCAGGCCGGTCTTTTGAAAATTTGGGCCTGAACTTCAATTTCTTTGTTTTCACCTTTCAGTAACATCCTAATGAGCCACTTTGCTGGAGATATGTTTGCAGAAATACTACATTTGAAGTTAATATTAGCGAACGTTCACAAGAACACAAACGTTGAGCTATTCAGCAGGAGTATTCATGCCAGAAACCTGAATAAGTTTGAATAATGAATACATGCACACAAAATCTGAATTGCTCATGGACAATTTGCAAACAGAAAAAAAAACCCCAAAAAAGGTTAATTCATTGTCTTAACTATTCCTTGTCAGTGACTGATATTGAGCTCCCCAGGCCAGGGCCAGCTCTAGGCACCAGCGTTCCAAGCATGTGCTTGGGGCAGCCAGGGCCGACGAGGGGGGGAAGCCGGTACAAATTACCGGGGCCTGGTGATCCGGAAG